GAACCTAAGTCCTTTATAATCATTGTGAGCCTTTCCAGGGAATTCAGGGAACTCTGACTGGCATACACAGTGAACATGAGTCGAACCACACACATGGTTTTCCTCCATTCAGAGGGAATGTCTTAAAGCACTGGATGTCCATTGGGCCTAGGTATTATAGAAGATACAAATAGATTACAAATAGATTAGTCATTCTTTTCTACTTGAAAATTATATGAAGCACCTTTCTACTGTACTTTTATCCTTTAGGCAGCTTAGTTTGACATTTGTAGATAAGGCAGTTGAAGAAAGCTAGAAATGCTTTCACAGGTAGTATCAACAAGTGGTAATTAAACTGCTATTTTTCCAAATTTTGTCTCATTTGTCCACACCTTTGAGTTTCTTGGGCCAGCTGTTATATTAGTTATGCCTGGTCCTGTCACTGAGCAAAGACTTTGAAGGTTTCTCTACTCCCATTTCTATGTTTCTTTAATTTTTATCTGTATAAAAAGAGGTGAAATAGATTCAGACTGAGAAAGTTGTGTTTATTAAATCAGTGGCAAGGACCTCTGCTATAGCTCTGCTGGTCATTGCCAGCGGATTGATGAATGGTTAAAAATCAGTCCAGGGCTCTTCTGAATCAAAACTGAGTTTGCTCCTTGCAAAAGTCCTTCAATTTCTCGTATGAGCTGGTTCAAGATACTTGGAGTATGAAATTAGTGTTTCAATTCATTCTCATAGCTAGGGATATGCACAACAGGGAAACCCTGAAGTTAAAGCACTGAATTTCACACCCTGTTGTTTAAACATGCTTGCTAAGGGGAAAAATGTTTTCTGAAAAATTGATGTGTAATCAAAAATGAATTTTGCTTACTTAATATGTTTGAATTTAAACTGCTTAACTAAGAAGTTTTTATTTTTTAAATTCACCTTCCTACATAAACAATGGGTTTACTATTTAAATGAATTTAACTAAAGTATTTATTTAAAGGAACTACCTGTCTGTTATATAAGAGATGCCAGAAGCATCTGAATATATCCAGTAAGCTTAATTACAATGCTCCTAGACATGCTATGTCTTCCCCTTGCTGGTGTTGAACACCCCCTGCCCTGTACCCAGCAGGCAGTGATTAGGGCAAGGGCAGAGGAGTGGCCTCGCTCCTCTGCAGTCTTTGGAGCTTTCAGCAAGCTGCCTCAGGAGCTTTTAGTGCCATACTGTAACGTGGGGACAGCCACATAACAGAGTGCTGCTGGAAGACACACTATTCACAGTGACCCTGAGCTTTGCTTTCTTGCCTGCCATGTGAATCTACACATCACATATGTCTCCAGGCAGGTGACCCCAAACCAGCTGCATCATACTTGAGAAATTGTTGAGCTTCTGGCTTAAGTTAGTCTATTATTTTACTTGCTTTAAAAGCAGTTTAAAGTAGCTTATTTTGAGATCTGGAGTGTGGTTATGAGTCTATCACGTCGCCTCAGGAACTCAGAGGTTAGGCTGCTCTGTGCAGGGTGATAAACCCTGTTGTACCTGCCTGTAGCTACAGTCTTGCCTCTGAGCAAAACCAGCAAGGTTGCCAGAGCATACGATGGGGAAGAACCCTTAGGCACAAAAGGAATTATGATCTCTGTGTATCTGTATCAAGTATCAGCTACTGCCTGAATTAGTCACAGAAAGATCAGCACAGATCTAATTTTACCACTTAATTTTCTGAACATCACAGATGCAACCGAATGAAGAATATATTTGATGATATATACAGTTGTCAAGTGTTTTTGTCTTTTCTGTCTTTTCTGGTAGCAATAAAAACATACAGTCTATGGTGCAATACCACAGCATATATTCACATTGCCTAATCTCATTTTCTTAAAAAAAAAAATAGATAGAAAGTCACAGTCTTGTAAAGAACAATCCCTGGGTGTTGCATTGTTATACATATAGCAATAGCTCATAAAGCTGAATTTCTCCTTTAGATCAGTTTTATTCTCAGTGAGTGATTGTACCACTCTGATTTTTAATTTTTATTTTCTTAAACTGGGCAAGACAGTTTGAAGTGATGTTGAATGTATTAGTGATTTTAGGAAGCCACAGAAAGGCCCTAATGTACTTCAGTGTGACCTCAAATCTTTTCACCCACTTCAGAAATGCAAATTCAGATTATGCTTGTTAAACTTTGTGAAGACAAAGTTTAAAATATTTAATTCAACTGTCAAAATTATGACATGCTTATTCCCATTGAAAGTCATTGCCATATTTTCAAGCTGTGGATCAACCACAAAACCTTCAACATGAAATCACAATTTCAACTCTTATCAGGAAACAGTTATCAAAAAACAGAGATCATTTTGTTACTAGCAAATACATCTGACAGCAGCTGAAGAGTAGCTCTTCCAAAAATGGTCTCATTCAAAGATTAGATCTAACATTACATATAAAAATGTATAGAATTTCCTATGGTAATTCATCCAAATATAAGTTTTATAATATAAGAAAAGATATTAATCCTTTAATTCTCCTGTAACTCACAAGTTGCCCATATGAAATCAGATGAGGAAGAGGTTTTGGTATGGTAAGTGGTAAGACAAGTGGCTACATGGGAAAGGAAAGACACAAATTAGAGTTTGGTGACTTTTGGGTAACATAGGCTCTAGGAGAGATTTCCCTCTATATTTTGCACATATAATTGGAAGAGTTGCTGAATCAGGCAGTTATGGCTAGCCTGTAAACTGCAGAAGAAATACAGTATTTCACACTGAAATATTCATATCATTTTAAATTTCCATTCCAGATGATTATTCGCAATGATAAGCCTTTTACTTGAACAGATACATATTTTCAAATGTGCAGGTAGTGATTCAAGGCAATTTCTTATTTATCCTGTTTCCCCAGCTGCTGCCACACAAACTGTAAACATAATCTTAGTGTACTTCATGATTTCATTTGATTCTCAGGAAAGGTTAGAAAGTGTGGAATTCAGAATACTGAACTGTAACTTTCCTTCTTTTGCCAATAAAGGTGTGACGTTTGGATGATGATTGAGTTTATACCATGCAAGCAATATACATATAGTAATTGCTGTTTCTATCTTATTCTTGTATTACGTTTCCTTTAGAAGAAATACTCTAATAAATAAAAATAAAAAAAAAAGTAGTGTTCTGGTGAAATACATTTTCCTTTTCCAAAATTTCACTTCTTTATTCTATTTATAGGCATATTGGAAAAAAACCCAACTTGGTAGCAAAATCTAAGTATGTATTACCATGTGTTTAATTCAGGATAGGATTTCCTAGGAAATATTTAAAATTTGACTGTGTATTTTGGCAGTTTACAGTACCTTGTCCATTGAGATAAGTGAAAAATTAAGCCCATGGGACAAATGTTTTGCTCAAGGTGGACTGATGCATCTCTCACTCTGGCAACGTCACACCAAGAACACAGGTTCAAAATGGCGTGAAGCAGAAGTGCTAGGAAAAGGCAGTGTCACATGGCACTGAGACATCACACTCGCCGTGACGCAGGGTGAGCTAAACCAGGGACTGGCCCTGCCACTACAGACAGCCAAGTGGAGATTCTGAGGCTAAAAGGAGAGCTGCTAGACTTACAGAATTAGCATAAGATAGCTAGCAGGACCCTACAATATGTGAGTAATCGTGCATGTGAGCATGGCAGATTAGTGGGGTATGGCAGAAAGGACATATCACCGATGTTTCCAATTAAATAATTTCTTTGGTCTGTCTAATGCTGAATCCCTGAGGCAATCAGGCACCTCCTAGATGCCAATCTTCCATCTCATTGTTCCCACTGCTGTAAAGAATAGAGTACATAATCTTGGAAACCAAATCCATGTCAATGCTAAACATATGAAAAGAAAACCACATGAAATGGAAATCTAGAAAACACCTTTAGTATGCATCTTTTCTCAAGGCAGTAAAAAGATGTAGATAAAAATCATTTGCATTTACGTATGAGATGGTTTTCTAAATTGTTTAAGTCACTTGGCTCATACCCAGATGGGGAAGACTTTAAAATTGTAGGTTTTCTTTGTGTATCGTGATGGTATAAGATTCCTGTTTATCCTGGTGGGTGGAGCTCTGAAATCTAAAGGGAGGAGTATGTGGTAGCTTGGGCTACACCCAGATCCGCCCCCAGGGGCAGGCCGGAAGGAAAGGGGCAGAGACCTGTTCTATTCCCACTCCCCCCTTCCTGGCTTCGGGACTGCCGGCGGAGCTCTCTAAAGCAGGGCAGGGAGCGTCTCTCTCTCTCTCTCTTTGCTGGGACCTTCAGCCAGACACACACTGTTTTGTTGCTGCTCCTGTTCCCTGTTCTGGCACGTCGCAGTGGCCATCTTGGGATTTGGGCCTGTTCTCCAAACTCATCCCCCGCTTTCATCTACACCTAAGAACTTTTCAGCCAGCTTCAATTCACATCAATCCATCAGGATCTAGTACAAGGGAGCTTCAACGCAGCACCTGGTTTTGTGGTTTTGGAAATTTATCCCTCCTTACCTTGTTACCCCTGTAATCTTTTTTTACCCTGTTAATCCGTACCCTTCTTCCTTTCTGTTCCCTGTTAAATAATATATTTCATTTTTAGTTAACTTCCAGTCGGTGTAAAGCCTTTATTACCCCTGCCTTCATTTGTTTATCTCTTTACCTGGGAAAAACTGAGGGATAGGGAAGGGGGAACACAAATTCTGCTCTGTGGGGTCTGCCCTGAGCCTTCTAAACGGAGACAGAATTAATTGGCACCCAACATGGGGCACAAGGATTTTAAATTTGTTGTGTGGAAAATATCGAAAAATAAGGAAAAATGTTAGTAATAAAAATTCTGGTTGTGCAAGCACTGGGGATTATAATGTGGAGAGTAACAGAAAACTTCATAACATACTATGTGACTAAAATGGTGGCAAATCTGATTCTTAATTGGGTTAAAGTCTTGCTGGGTTATCTATGTGTGTACTTGAGAGTTACCATGACTTTTAAAAATATTACTGCTGCAGAGAATCTGTCTTACTCAAAACATGCCTCCGTCACGGAATGCCATGATCTATGTTGCCAGCATGAACAGTGCAGTAGACAAGCGGTGTACTCTCGCAGTTTGTGCTTTAATGATGAAGGCAGTACAACCCTTAGGCCTCAGCGGCGCGGTTTCGCGGGCAGGGGAGGGGCAGCAGCCGCTTTCAGAAGCACGTTCCAAACGGCAAGCAGGTTTCTCAGCCGCAGGGAGTGTGGATGTGGCAGTGCCACAGCAAAAACAGCAAAACCCCTGGGGCTCGCTGCCGCCACTGCGGTGCAGAGATTAACGCTTCAGTCATGGCTCCATGCACAAAATGTAACAAATTCTCTGTTTTACAGGGACATCAAACCTGACAACATACTACTGGATGAGCACGGTAAGTGAATATTGACTGCTTTCTCTCAGATATCTGTAATTCTTGAGATCTCAGTGACAGGCTCATGACATGCTTTGTAAATCAGCCTCAGATGCTGGATTCCCACTTAAATCTGGCCTTTCTTGGCAAAGTCCCTCTGTCCACCTTGTGGATTTTATAATTTCCACTCCTATTGGGAAAAAAAAAGAAAAGAAAAGAAAAAAAAAAAAGCAGCAAGCTGATCTAACACTTGCAAGACCTGAAAAGAAGGAACTTAATATGAATTGAGATCACTAGGGACACCTGATTAAAATAATATTTTATTACAGGATTACTGTGAATCACTATAATCTCCTTTTAGGGGCCTAGCAGTAGAAAAGTATTAAGAACTTATTTGCTCATTTAGAACTTCTGGAGGTCTAAGAAATTTCATACAGCAAATTATTTCCCATATAGGTATCTGAAATTACTTTCCTAAATTTAGTTACAAAATTTGGAAGTTTCCCTGTAAATCGAAAAAATTGTATGTCTTTACATGTAGTTCTGGCTTAAGTAACAAAAAAAGACTAGACAACATAATCAGCTTTGGACTTTCAGTCTTAATTCCATGACCTCAAACAGAAAGGTGTGATATGAAATAAAAAAGCAGCTAAATTCTTTGAACTTGAATTTTACACATATATACTATGAAGTTTTTTGCTAAAACGAAATGCACCTTTTTGCAAATATACATAGGAAAAACATAAGAAAATAGAGGTAACAAAGGCATCAACCTCATATCATTTAGAACAGAAATATGTACAGAAGAAAGGTTAAATGGAAAATAGAGTTCTGTGTTTGCCACTGTGGGAAAATCTTGTTATGCTCTGTTGACCTCAGAAACTGATTAAAAGCAGTTAATCTTTGGGAAAACACGAACTTGAAATTATGCTCATGTTAACATTATTTTTCAAAATCCATTGCAGAGCTGCTGGGTATAAAAGTTAAAGTTGATTAGAGAGGTGACATTGTGAGCAGCTGGAGTTTGTCTCTGGGAGTATGGAGGCTAGCAAAGCCAAATAATGTTGGAGTTTCAAACCATCTGGAACTTCAGGAATTCAAAATTTCAGACCCATAAGTGTTAATGTTCTGTAGACACTAATGTTCTGTAGCATACCTGCAGACGAGTGGTGAGACAGCCATGCTTCTCCAGACCTGCAGATAGACCTTGGTCAGCACAATTAGTCAGCTTATGGATCCTTGTTTCACAGGCCTGTTATGTGGCTGTGAGATGTAATTTTCTCAGCCTGGGTAAAGGTCCACACTAACATGCTACACGAGGTGACATCTGTAAGAGAGGGATCTGTACCATGCTTGTCACCATAGGCTTCCTTTACAGATAACTGGAAGATGTTTTATATCATCTGATCTATTTTGGATGTCTGCACTATACACCAGTATCAATTTCTCTTTGGTGACCAAAACACAGAAGTTTTGAGTAAAGTTATATACACCCATCTTATATGTTTTGCAAGATGAATGCCACCCTTGAAGTCCATAAAAACTTGGATTCAGCTGCAACATAGTACCATCATTTTTACAGAAACATCAGATTTCACTTAAAGGAAACAATGTGCTGAATATATGCACCATAAATACGCTAGGCTGTAGAGAAAGCATAACAAATTCACCTAACATGAGTCTAACCAGGTGCACAGGAAGGAACTTTATTTTAGCTTGTGGCCTCTAACATAGCACAACAGTTCCCTATATGCTTGACTTTACCCTCAGGTCTTTCTTACAGCTCATTAAACGAACTGTGCTTACCCAAAGTATTATGGAACTGCATATGCACAACGTTCAGTACAGAGAGTTTGTCTCAGTGGGTTAGATTTCTTTGACCTCACTGAAGAAACCTATTTTGGCTGAAGTTAAAGTGTAAAGTTATACAATTCACATCACCTTACATCTTCAAGTAGTTAAACCGACTGAATTTCATAACGTATACCAAGAGTATAGATTATAGGTATTTCTGCTCATGAAAACTAGTTTCATGACAATTCATCTGTATGGCTTAGGGAACATACCTCAGGAATACAGAAGCAGCAAAATCAAGAGATTTTTCCTAACCTATAAAACCAATCAATTTAATTTACAAAGGGAAAATCCCACAAAAATATATACAACATATTCAAAACCTTTCTGGCAGAGAAAGCCTGAATTTTCCCATGTACTTTTCACGAAAGCCACACCTCAACACTGCTGAAGCAGTTTCTGATGCATCAGTGGTACCAAATGTTTGATGAACACAAGAACCATAATACTACATGAGAGTGGGGTAATCTGCTGCTTAAAATAGTGTTCAGCCCCTGACAGAAGATGATTGCTTGGTCTCTTGGAGATAATATCTATCCCATAGAGGACTCTTCCTCTTA